AATGATCAACTGTTTTTATTGGCGAGTGATGGAAAAGTTCCTTGTTTATCTGAAAGAGTATTGGAAGTCAGTCCACTAGTACAAGTCGGAGGGATTTTTGTTGTTGTTCCTTTGTATTTTACCCTTTAACGACTTCCTTCTTTTAGGCTGTTGAAAGACAATGTTACTCCCCAACTCTGGCTTTAAGGTAGAACACTAGAGCTTACAGGAAATTCCGATGCCTGGTGCACAGAACCAGAAGTCCTCATTCAATTAGTTTGGGTGCATCCTGAGCATTGGTAGTTTCCAAAGAGTCCCAGAGAAATGGGAATGAGGAAGCAGGATGAGGAACCACAGTTTCAGAATGATTTTATCTTCCTGCATCCCAATGTTCATAGCAGCACTAGTTACAATAACCAATCTATTGGCTGCAACCTAAATGTTCATCAACAGATGAATGGATAATGACGATGTGGTGTATATACAATGGAATATTACTCAGGCATAACAAAGAACAAAATAATGCCATTTGTAGCAACATGGATGGACCCAGAGATTATCATACTAAATTAGTTATGTAATAATTAGTTAAACTAAGTAGTAACTAAATTAGTTAAAGTTAGAAAAAGACAAATATAAGATATCACTTATAGGAGGAATCTAAAAGATAAACGATACAAATAAATTATTTACAAAACAGAAAAAGACACACTGACATAGAAAACAAACTTTTGGTTACCAAAAGGGAAGGCTGGGGAGGGATAAATTAGGAGTTTGAGATTAGCAGATACGAACTTCTATATATAAAACAGATAAACAATAAGATCCTACTGTATAGCACAGGGAAATATATTCAATATTTGCAGCAACATGGATGGACCTAGAGATCGTCTTCCGAGTGAAGCCAGAAAGAGAAAGAAATATATCATATGATATCACTTATATGTACAATCTAAAAAAAAAAAGACACTATGAACTCATCTACAAAACAGAAACAGACTCACAGGCATAGTAAACAATTTTATGGATACCAGGGAAAGGGGGTGGGAAGGGATAAATTTGAGAGCCTGAGATTTGCAAATGTTAGTTAGCTATGATACATAAAAATAGATTTAAAAAAACAAACACGTTTCTTCTGTAGAGCACAGGGAACTATATTCAATATCTTGTAATAACCTTTAATGGTAAAGAATATGCAAATACACAAGTGTATATGCATGACTGGGACATTATGTTGTGCACCAGAAATTGACAGATTGTAACCGACTGTACATTATGTCAATTTTAAAAAAATTTATTGGTTGGTGAAATGTGAATGCCTGGAAATCACCAGTTCACAGGGCCAGCAGAGAGCAAGAAAAGGAAACTTGGAGAGAAGAGAACTGATGGATCAGGGTCTTGGAGGATGAGCTCTAGATCACAGGGAGCAGTCAGACTTGAGGGGCAGGGCAGGCACTGAGCATAGATGGAATTATAGCCACATTTAGAGATGAGAATGAGGAAAGGTTCTCTGGTAACCAAAAACCAAGGCCATCTGACCCCAAAATAAGCCTGGTAGTATCAATTAGAAGACTTAATAAGCAAATAACATAGAATGGTAAAGAGTTGGAGCAACTTTTGTGATGAATGGGAAAAAAATCAATCTAGGAATGGACTGACAGACTAGAAAAATAGAGATGGTTTCAACACTAAATACTTTGAAGTCGAAGAATCAGGTTAGTGGGAGTAAGGGAGTGGACGATGTATAAACACATACGTGAAGCTGTGGTCAGAAGGTAGGACTCCGGAATTTAAGATCTCGGAGCCAGAGTAAATGCTCATTCATTGATGAGGATAAAGATGATACTGATGATAACAACCATTCTTGAAGCCCACTAAAAAGTTAATTATATCTTGTCATAACAACCATTACTGTCAGCATGTTCCAGGGGAGCAATTGAGGCCCTGAGGAGTTTTCTATAACACTCTTTAGGTTTATCATAGAACTTGACAAGATGACTCTGAAATTCACATAGAGTAGGAAAGGGCCTGGCATTCCCAAGAAAATTTTGAAGAAAGCTTTGAACAAGAAAATTTTGAACAATGGAAAAGAATAAACAATCCATGGACATGTGAAAACCCAGTCTGACATTAATGACACCATGAACCATAAAAATAAAGTTAAACCAGTCAGTAAATGCTGCCAGAACAATTAGTTGTTCACACGTAAAATAAATAAAAGCAGATCTCTACCTCATGCACAAAAACAGTAGTCTGATTTAAAAAGACTAAAATATGAAGAACTAAATTTTCAAACTTTTAGCAAAAAGACAGATGAATGAATATCTTTGTGGTTTTGAGGTAGGGAAGGATTTTTTTTATTTCTTTAGGGAAAGATTATTTATTTATTTATTTATTTATTTATTTATTTATTTATTTATTTATAGCAGTTTCTCAACTTTCTTAGCCTGGAGCTCCTCCCTGCCAGCCCCACAGGTTGGTCCCCGCGCACAGTGAGCAGGACTGAGGTCAGACAGCTTCAGCCCCTGGTCCCTGGCAGCCGTTAACAGCTGGGTCAAGGCGTCAGCAAGTGCAGAAGCCCAAATGCTGGCACTTCGGTGTGGCCGGCGCCTGGCCAGGCCCAGAGTGAAGCGGGGCCTGCCGCCGTGGGTGGACAGGGCACTGGGGTCCTCTCCTGGCAGAGGGTCCAGCGGGGGGCAGGGCCAGGCCCTGCACAGGCAGCATTCCTTCCGAGGCTGAGACTAGGTGCAGCTGTTGACTCCGGCCAGGAACTGCTGTGCCCACCACTCACCCAGGTCGATGGGCACGGGGTTGTGCAGCCGGGAGTTGGGCATCCTCTCCACGGACTGCACTGGCGCCGGCCCGCTCCCTCCGGCTGGGCCACCACCCAGCTGCTGCTCCACTTGCTGTCAGGCTCGGGATACAAACCGGCCGTTCTCCTCGTGGGCCAGTGTGTGGGTCTCCTGGGTTCCCTCAAGGGAGGGGGATGGAGCACGGGGCCACCGGCCATTCATCCGATTGAACACCAGCCTCGGGCCGGTGCCAGGGTCCCCGCAGCTGCGCCCTCGAGGTCTGCGGGGTCGTCGGTGAGGGATGCCGGCTTGTCAGGAGAGCTCCGAGCCTGCTCTCCACCTGCTGCTGCGCGGGACCCGTGCGGCGCTGGGCGGCCAGCTTGCTGGTCCCTTGGTGATAGTGGACATGGTGCGGAGGGGCTGCAGCGCGCCCTCGCCCTCGCCGCCCGCCGGCCAGATTCCACGCCCTCTACCCAGCTGGCACTTTTGGAAAAAAAATTTTGAAACCGGATCCCAAAGCAGAAAACAAGGAAAAGACGAATAAATCTGACTACATTCAAACTAAATTTCATTATAAGAGAAGACACTATAAACAAATTTCAAAGAAAAGACACAGAAGTAGCCAATATAACCAAAAATGTATTATTATCCAGAAAATACATATCAATGAAAAAGATGAGCAAAGCAATAGAAAAATGAGCCAAAGATGCCTAGAGATGTCCAGGAGGCATGTGGGATTAGTACTAGAGACATCTGGGCTGGAAATAGAGTTTCTTCGGGCCACATCAACCTATTGATCATGTTTGAATTCACAGGACTAGATGAGCTTATAGAAGGAAAGCATGTCAAGAAATTAGAGATTTGGGCTGGGACATAGAGCAGCCGAGGATTACTGATCCTCACTCAGGTTCTAAATAATAGCTTCTTAAACCTTATTCACATACTGATTATTTTGTCTGGTCTTTTTGATCATAACTGTATACCTCCTAAAGATGGGGTCTAAATACAAGAAATAAAAACTAATAAAACCAGATTTTACTGGACACTATGTCAGAAGGTGGTCAGATACACCTACTATTTCTATTTAGAACAATATTACCTTCAGCCCCTCTGTTTCATATACTGCCAAGAAGGCAGGGTTGTAGGAATGAAATGCAAATTTAAAAATATGAATGAAACAGGATTTAAATCTTTAAGTAAAGGGCATCTAAGAAATAAAGACTTTTTTCAATTGGTGGGGTTAGGAATTATCTCCTCTTAGACATTAGCAAGCTCATGTAATGCATCAGAAATAGCTCATGTTCGCAGATACATCTCTAAATTTTAACA